TCAACAAATGCTCTATCGAGCCCTTTATCTTTACTATTTACCTAAATATTAACTCTAAAAGTCTTGTTACGGAAAACCTCAGACATTCTAGCTGTGCTACAGCATATTTTTTAGAAGTTGTGTTACATTAAATGTTAATCTAAAGTTTAAACTTAGGCCAAAATAAAAAATACCTTTGTTTCCCCTAACGCGACCGACCCAATTAAATTGCGCCGACTGAAAAGACTTTTTAAATACGATGATTCAAAATCTTTTTTTATTGTCAACCAAGTTTTATAAAATACAATTTCATCAAAATCAGTTTTTATTAGAACGGCCAACATTGTTCTACTGTGATTTTCAAGCATTTGTTGGAAACAAAACAGTGCCCAGATGTGATTATAGAAAAGTAGTTCTTCATAAAACAACGGCGATCTCTCAATCTTATGCTTTTAGCTAACTGGAATTCTTCACTTTTAAAACAATAGATAAGAAAATTTTCCATGACTATTTAAGAGTGTTTCGGACGTGTCTTGGCGTCTCCATGTGAGTGAATAATTTTCGAAAGGGACGGTAAACAACAAACAAACAAACAAGCCTATCTTTGAATATAAGGTACGTAATACATGGAAAGGCCAGCCTCATGAGCAGATGAGGGGCCCACCTATTGAACACATTATTCAATTTCACTGCATTTTATTTAATTTGACTTTTGATCTAATAAACAATTCATCTATGTTCCTATGTTTACTATATGCCATTATGGAATCGTAGAAATTGTTGTAAATATGTCTGCCTATTCATCCTGATAAATATAATTCAATTGTACGTTTTCATGCTTTTATTTACAGGTTAAATTTCGTGACTATGACATCGTTTTATATCTAGCATTTTTATCATTTGTAGATTCGGTTTGGTTCATTTAAATATTGTTTAAATACTCTTTCCAAATGGTTTTGAAATCATAATTCAGCTTCCTGAGACGTCCAGTGTATTTTTCTTTAATTGGACCCTTAAAGATTGGTTGTTTCTTTGCTTTTAATCCCTTCGAGATTTGTTGGGACATTTGAACAATTCCCTATTGCTCCAAATTTAGACATACTACGCACTTTTTTGCCATTAAGCAGCGGGGATCTTTTTTAAGACAGCATCTTCTGCGACACTGGACATAAGTTTTTATGGTCCCCTTTGAAAGACCGTTTTCAACGTTCCTCATTGGTATTTGAATCTGCGACTTAAAATTAGCCACTTACTTCTTAACTCCAAAGCAAAATGCTGTAGAATCACTGCAAATCTCATGGCCCTCAAAAAAGTACATTGACTGTCTATGTCCAGTCTTTGCGTATTTGAGAATCTTGTCTTTTTTATTCGATTTATATAAATGTTCTCCGGTTTGAGATATTTCACAAATTCATCTAAATTACAGTTGTGAATAATTAAGCAGGAATTTTACTTTTAAACGGCATATGTATGATACTTAGCATTTTGTTCACAAATCAATTTCTTTTGTACTTTTCTTATTTATAAATGTAATTTTCCATTAAATTTTAGAATGAATTTTCAAAGCTGCTGTCAGAAAATAAAATTGTTAACCTACCTACCGACCCAACTTGAGAATTTAGGGTCAGGTTAGGGGAAACAAAGATATTTTTAATTCCGGCCTTATCTATAACTATCTGATAGTTATATATAAGTTAACTTTAGATTTAAACTTTTAATGTAACAGTTGTATAGTTCAGGCGTGGATCCCTACAAGCTCTATCAACTTAAAATGCTCTATCTCTATCAAACTTAAAATGACTAAAATCACCTAATCAAAAGTCTATACATCAAAAAGTACGAATTTTCTTCTCTTTATACAAACATTCCTCACGATTAATAAAAAAGTAGGATTTTTAATGTCATAGACAGCTACTTCTTCAATATAAGTGAAACTCCCAAATGTTTACATCTTGTGAATGGTCTTCAACAAAATCACTCTAGCTGTTAAAAATAACTCCGATTAACACACAAGTGCTCTGTAGTTGAAATAAATGCTGGAATCCCCAACGGTGACTGGTCAACCCTTGGTATTGTCCTTTCTGACATATTTTATTTCATCAAATAAAATCTGCAAAATCTGCAAATAGTCATGTTGCAGATTTTATTTGATAAATATAATATGTCAGAAAGGACAGTTTGCATGTTGTTGAATTAAAATCTCCTATCAACAAACATTTCTCTTAATATATCATGTTTCATTCCGCATAACCTTAAATGCTTGTTGAAGGCGTTTTTACAATTCTCCTAGCTGATAAATCAAAGTGGTAATTAAAGCAGAGGAAAATATATATATATAATATCCCAAGTATAACATTGAATGCATGTTTTGATCTACATGTATATGATACAAGATATTCGTTTCAAATGTGATACAATTGAAATGATGAAATTTCACTGAAACAATCGTGATAGAACAAAGTCTCAGGGAGAGATTTTGTCTACACCTCTTCCTAAGTATATATATTCACCAAACTTTCATTTAATTTTATCCGCATGTATCTTCCTCTACCTCTATAAATGGAAAATTCTCATTGCTTAAAATACAACGGAAATATGATGAAATGTATATATTAAATTGTCGTTAAAATCTCGAAATAGGGAATAAGGAAACCAAGCTTAATATTTTTATTTACAGAGATTACTATTACTAGTATTAAAAATGATTTTAGAGATGAACCTTACATTTGTGTGAGTGTCTTATCGGTAGTTGAGGTTCGTCGCATAGCGAGAATACTGTTTGAAAACACATGCATTTTATTAGTGATTTTATAAAATGTGTATATTAAAAAACTCCAAAGAATCTTTGGTAAATAAAAACCCAGAACATTTTACAATCGTAGCATTTGTAACACATTACACAGCCATTTAAATTCTCATGGAAAATTAAAGAGAATATATAATAGGAAACAGCTTTTTAAATGAAATTGAAACTCTTGAATATTTCTTCCTTGTATTATCAATATGTCATCCTCAGGCTAACTTTTGATTTCTTACAGATAATACATCTATAACGTATTTGGAGACCAATTATTCCTCAATCTGATCCATGCATCGTCGGAACCCACGATGAATCTGATCAGGCCTGGGGGCCATAAAAGTTAGACGAGCTCACTTTTGATCTCATTCTCACTTTTCCACTATATGTACCTTAGAGAAAAAGTGAGTTCGGTTTACACTATGCATCTTGACACATGCATCTTGGACACATGCATCTTAGATGCATGTGTCAAGATTCACAATGTAATAGCCCTTTGTGTCAAATTAAATGGGTGTTGGAACTTGTTCTATTCCGTGCTTCAAGATGCATGGAACTGACCAATGAAAAGAAAGGTCAGAGTTGAGACTGAATCATAAGCCTTATTTTCCTCCATATACTAGGGGTGATCAAAAAGTTCGCAAACTAATTGAATAACTTCCATACAAGAAACAATATTTGGTTTTAATGTTGATTATATTTTAAATTAATCCTCCCCGATTTTAATGCACATCAACCACCGTTCTGCGCATGCGCGAATCACGTGATATTGGCGGTCACGTGACCCCCTCCGTAGCGTTCTGTCACAAAAGTTAAAAGATTTTTCCGAGTTTTATATTTCTTTCCATGTGAGTTAATTTTTATGACAAGAACAGTTAATTTGTCAGAAATGGTCATATCTCGGCAACAGAATGGGTGGATAATAACGTCCTTTCCAAAAATAAGCATGGCGACCATTAAAACACAAATCTTCTGTCTCAGGAGAGACCTTTATTCAAGGTGGATAGAGAATGGGTGCATCCTTTTTATCATATCTAATATGTTTAAAATCTAAAGTAAATAAACGATATCTTAGGTATTTAATACTTATATCATTGTTCAAATATTCAACTATTTTTCAAAGTGCTAATTGGAGGTCTTTGATAGCAAATTGCTTAATTAAAAATACATATCTTTTCAAACTTGCTTTCACTGGGCAAGATGACAAGTATCATTTTTAACCATCAGCCTTCCTTCACTAAAACGATTAATCCAATCATTAATTGAATTTATAGGAACTCATTTATCTCAATAAACTGTACAAATTATTATATGATACTGAAGAGAGATTTCTAAGATATTACAATAAATTGTACAGTCGTTTGTTGAACGAGTTCGACTGAGACAACCATTTTGTGACCTAAATAGTGACGTCATTTTCACATTGTGACGTCAAAAACAAGGAGAGAAACTTTATTCAGCATATGCTGTTTATAGACCTTGTGTATGGCTATATGTGAATATCATTCTAATCTGAATTGTGGTTTTGTAGATCTATATAGAGATAGTTTGCGAACTTTTTGATCACCCCTCGTAGTTGCAAAAATAGCCTCCCAAGATACACAAAAACAGAAAATACTGATTAAAACTACAATAAGAAAAACTAATTTGATGATTATAATATAGAGGAGTTTTTGTTTTGGAATAAGAATTATCATAAAAAGGAAATTTTGAGTGATTTGTTCAGCTAAAATAAATCTGGAAATGAAATTTGAAGGTATTGCTATTTTTTTAAGTAGATAAATTTCATCTTTACAAAGTATTCTTAAGATGCATGCATCAAGACACATAGTGTAAATAAGAAGATGCATGAGGCAAAATAGAAGCATGAGTTTAGATGCATGTGTCAAGATGCATAGTGTAAACCGGCCTTAAGTTTTATGGCCCCCAGGCCTGAAAACCTATCTAGTTTTCCAAGTTACGGGTTATTTTGTATCGAATCCTTGTAAACTTTAACGCTGGTTTTAAATCAACTCATTGCCATTCGATTCGAGCCATCCACCATTTACAAAATGTTAATTACAGAGAAATACACTGAAAAATTAATACAGCGGTGAGGAAAAATATCATCATCCTGTTTCTTTTGAAGTGTTTATTGAAGTTATTTTTAACGCGTTCTGTTAAAGTTCAAAAATAATATATTAACGTAATTCTAACAATTATTATATAGTGCTGTACTTGAGCATAGAGGGGAAAAATAAATGTTTGATAATTTTCGTTAAAAGTCAATGATCAGGAAATACGATTTGATTTTATTTATTTTTCTTGGAGGAAGTAAATGTTGTTTCTAATTCATATAAACGGTGTTTATAATGGGCGTAACCTATTCAGTGGGGCCGTACATTTGTTTGTTCATAGTGCCAGTTGTTACACAAGAAACAGGACAGAAATGGACAGAAAAGGAGCTGGGAAGATTCAACATCTGTCCGTAAGTTAAGGGCTCTTGAAATGAAAATCAATTTTAATTAGAAAAAAAACTAAAATAATTTGAAATACTTCAGTTTCAAAATTTAAAAAAAAAGTTTATAATATCATCATATCATTTGTACAATACAGTTGCTCCCTGGTCTATTGAGTATCAATTCTGTTTCATAAAAACACCATTAAAAACACATCTGATTAACAAGACCTTGTTAATTGATATAACTAATTATATTCATTCTTTTTCTTTTCAAGATCAGATACTTATGGGATTTTACGTTGTTGTTACGGTTTCACCCGAGATGAACACGGATCCTGCACAGGTTTCATCTTTTAAATGACTCATAATACCAATTCCTAAGAATTCAAGAAAAAAAAAGAAATATCAAATTAATTTCCTTTTCTTTTCTGTTCGTATATTTGAAAAGCACATTGTACAGCTCTAAAACCTAACTTGCCCTATTTCACCTGACATGCTCTATGAACAAAATTCCCATTGTGAAAAGAATTGTTTGCAATGTGATCAAACAGCTTTTGAATACTGTATAACTTACAAAGTTTCCCGTTCTTTCAGTCTGTCCCCCTGGAACATTTGGAGCTAATTGTGAAAGCATCTGTCCTCGTGGTACATATGGAACTCATTGCAAACTTTCGTGTGGTGACAAGTGTTCTGAATGTCATCAAGTTTATGGATGTCAAGGTAGGTCTGGTGGGGAGTACTGTGATTATCTATATTTCGGTTTAAAAAAAGCCTAAACGATTTTCTCTATATACTTATCATAACAATCGAAAACAGCCAAACAGCTGATATCCAAAAGTCCCTATTTCAACAATAGAATTAAATAAATCTTTGAAATATTTTGATTTAGCCTTCATCAGTGGTTAATTATATTTAATTATAAATATTATTAATATTATTAACATTTATTATTTAATATGAACTTCTAGAAAACCGGACCTCTTTTCCTGGGGAAAAGTATATGCTGACCCTTCACAAACACGAGTACCCTACAACTTGGCCTGTCAGTGCCATGATAGTGGTTACCGCCCTCTCTACCTGCCTGCTGATGTGTTTAATCATACAATCTGTTGTCTGCTGTCGGAAAAGAAAGTTAGTATGAACAACGTCATTTTTTGTGTTTGCACACTGATCATAATCTAGGACAATTATACCCGCACTTTTTAAAGAAGGTTCGGGTATACTAGTATTATATTGTTTTTATTCTGGTTCGTCAGTCCATCTGTCACAATAGGAGCCTAAAAATGATGTTTAAAGTGCCTGATCTGTTCTTAAAATATCTGCAGTAACGAATGTATCTTTTGGGATGTTAAATAAATAGTCACTAGTTATTTGACAATTATAGGATTCAGGATTCTTACTTTCTTTGGAGACCAAACGCAGATATAAAATGTTAATTTTAAACGATATATATCCCAGTGAGCTTGAAATAAAAGATACCATAGAGTCTGACATATCTGATTCACATTTGGATGTTTTACTTGAAAAAGACGTTAATGGTAATCCAACAACTAAGCTTTTGATAAAGGTGATGACTTTAACTTTTCAATCGTCAACTTCCCCCACTTATGACTTTAACTTTTCAATCGTCAACTTCCCCCACTTATGCAGCAATATACCTTCATCACCTGCATATGAAGTTTATATCTGTCAGTTGATTCGATACAAAAAAGCATGCTCTACATATGTATAATTTCTAAAACGAGGTAAATTATTGACAAACAAGTTGATGAAACAAAAAGATCAGCAATGTCGTTAAAATTTCGTAAGTTCTTTGGTCGATACAATGAGCTTGTCAGCAATTACAATTTAACATTGAGTCAATTGCTGACTGACGTTTTTCATACTAATTGTTAGGCCATTATTTACACTCTGAATTGACCGCAGATTTATTTCCCGGTCATTACAAGGAGCAGATAGCGAATGTGACCGGTCTTCAGGGGGATGCTCACTCCTCCATGGCACCTGATCCCACCTCTAATGTTTTGGAGGTCCGTGTTTGCTCTGCTTTTATTTTATATTGTTTTGTTGACTTTGTGCTTGAATTCTGTTTGTTCTTTCCATGTATTATATTTCTTTGGAGACCAAAGGCAGATCTAAAGTGTTTATTTTGAACATATCCCAAGATCTTCTAACATCTTTCATCATAGCTCAATCATATTTTGAAGAAGTCAGGGTGTATTCTGAAGATGTACATCTGGGTGACAGAAAACATGTACGGAATTTTGAGCTGGGGGTTATTTGTGAAGAAATCAACTTATTTTGTAAATTATAGAATTCTGATGACCTTTTCCTTAAATTAATACCAAATATGAATAAATAGAGGTAAACACCTGAGCTCTGGTTTGTTTTCAAATTTTTCAGTCCTATTTTAATTTTTTTTTGATTGATAATCTTTTAAAATACTTTCTTTTTATCTCCAATCCTTTGCAAATATGTTTAAAATTTTATTCAAACTTTGGGTTACATACAAGATTTGAAAATGATTCTCATATACATGTAGAAAGAAGAAACGATCTGAAAATTTAACAAATACAACAAAGAACACACAATATTACGGACTTAAACCAAACACAGGACAAATACACATGTACGCTGAACAGTACAATGATGTGGAGGAATCAAATAGTCCATCGACCCAAAACGCCACCTTATCGCACCGGAAATATGATTACGTTGATGAACATCGTGTAAGAAAACTAGAGAGTTCTACAGAATTAAGAGGCAAATCTAAGAACGGGACAAAGTATTATGACAGTGATGGGGATAATATCAGAAGTAAAAATAAATCATCAACCAGGGACCTGCAATACAGTTTAGTAAATCCTGGAACTTCTTCACAATTGTACAGACAATCCAACGATCAATATCTAGAAGGAAACGGCACAGAAGACTATTTAGATCCCGTTTATGCAGAATCTATTGCTTACAAAGTGTGACTTGATTTAGTTATAGAGTCCTCCAACAATAAACAGATGATGTCTCTAATGATGAAAACATAAATAATCCATGTCTTACTAAGTACAAGATATCACAGAATCTAAAAGTGCGTAATAGCTGGGAGTGTTTATTTAACAAAATGATATAATCAGCCTTAAAATTCATGTTTGCAATAATTATGATTCCTTTAAATGTATACATTTATGTAAAAGAAATTTAGAATTTGCTAAATTGTCATTTTTGTCCCCCGCTTTTGTGAAAGCGAGGGGACATTAAATCTCATTCATCTGTACGTCTGTCAGTTCGTCTCGTCTGTTACAAATGTTTTAACCTTTGTCATGACCTTTGAATGAGAAGAGATATTGCTTTCATATTTTACATGTACATTACCTGTGACAAGACCTTTTCAAATCTACTTTGATCTTTGATCTTGAAGTTTGAACAACTTTTCAAAAAAATTAACATTACTTTAAAATGGTATCGAATTTTGACCTGGGAGTGATTGGTGTGGAAAAATATACAAGGCTTTCATATTACCTGTGACAAAATGTTTCTATATGTAATGATTTATAACCCATTTACCTTCATCCTTGTGTTTGACCTAATTTTCAAAAAAAAAAAAAAAACTTGGGTGATTACTTTTGACTGGTATATGAAAGGGCGTTCATAATTGACGCAATATGCCATAAATACTGACATCCAATCCACTAAGACACCTTAGTCTGGTGACCACAATGAGTACGTACATATATGTCATTTCATATGGATTGATTGTAACATGGAAATAAACGAAGCACTTGATCTTTGTCCCATGGTGGAATATATATACATGTAGAGAGAGAGAGAGAGAGAAAGAGAATTGGAATTGGAGTTCCGCTCTCGCTCCATTGGCATTATTTTGTCGCTTGTTTCCTTTTTAAAAAAAGTGTACGAATATACATGCATGTATAAAATTTACAAGGAAACTTTAATTGAATGTCTAGTAAGTGTATTAATCTCAGCTGCATAAAGTAGAATATAATTAAGCTCATTGACATAAAGCATATTGTCTTAGGATTCATTGATTGTCCCATCCCATACTTCACTGTACTACAATATGATGTAAAACATCTCAAGAAGGTAAGTCATTTCTGTTTTTTTTAAAATACAGATCTGTAACATTTTTCCATTAAATATTTACCTAATAATTACCATTTCTAGAAGATTTGGATAGATATATATGACCCACATTTTACATTCTTTTAAAAGGTCAATAACCATTAGGTAATAACCAACACGATTAGTTATACTTCAGTTTTGATTTCCTACTTTTTTTCTTTTCCATATCCACAAAAACTTAGAGAATAGCGATGCCAGTCTGTGATGGACAAACGATTGACAAGTTCCTGGTTACCCTGTGTTCGTTCTTGAGTGTTTGCATCATCCTCTTAATTTGTATTCTCCTGAACATTCTCTTCAAACACAGGTATTATTGTATAAATAATAGCCATAGTAGAATGTCAAACATACATGTACTCAGGAAAAAGGGTATAATATTGAGTCGTGATTTTGAGAATGACAAAGTATTAGTTTTAAACGCGTATTTCAGAATTCATAGAAAAAATAGATAAAATATTCAAAAGGCAGAATGTCTGATCCACATCTTGTCAATGTGCATTGCTTATACACAGACAAAGCATCTTTTAATAAATACTTTAAAAAGAATAGTGCAATGCATGCATATTTTATAGAACATGAAAGAAAATTCATCGCGAAGATAACATTTTGTTTACGGTGCTTAAAGGCCGCTGTCCCAGAAAGTCCTTAAAATGAGACATAAATGCACAATAGTTGTCGTTCTGTACCTTGTTAGCGCATCATGCTTAATTCTTTTTACTTTTTATCACAGCCACGTGTTTAACTTGCTTGATATTGTCATATGAACACTTAATTATGTAGAGTTATTTTGTAGTTTTCACATTTAATGCAAAGGTCCTATAAAAATTCGGTTATCATGAGAAATTGTATTGTTTTAAACTGAAGCACCTGTGCAAAAACTTATATGATTCTTGTATTTACTCTGCATGTAGAAGACACTTGAAGGGAAAGTTGACAATATCAAGAAAGAAGACCAAACCTGTTGTCAACCCGACATACGAAGAACAAGAATTGAACACGATTGTAACATCCTACGATCAGATTTGTCTACAACCTTAACAGGATATCATTTCACCATTCCTTCCTTCAATCAATTTCATCCTCCTCTTCATTTGAGAATTTGGTTTGTGATGACATTGAAGGTCAAAAGTGTTTATTTCCGAATTCCGTTTAATGTTTATGAATAACATGGTAAAACTAATCAAACACCTGTCTCGGAGATGTCAATGAGGGCATGCTCGATGTTAATTGCAAAAGCACCAGTCTTTCTAATTATGTTCAATTTGTAAACTTATGATATTTTTTGAAAAGAGATTTTTGGAAATATTAAATGAAACAAGTTTAATTCATTCTTGATTGGAGAAGTATGAGAGAAGTAGGGGAATTTTATTTTTACCACAAAGATAACGTTCTCTCAGACGCATGAGAGATTCCGAACACTCCTGATAAACTACTGAAAGTTAAAAAAAAATGACATTTGTTTAAAAAACGATAATAGATATTATCCGCCTTAATGGCTGCATGTTTTGCACTCGACAAATTACTTTGACACATTTAAACCTAAACAAAATTAAGCTTAAAAAAAGTCACATTAAGGTAGGATTCTTCTTGGTTTCTGACTAGATGGAAAATTCAAAGTACATTTGTTGAAATGTCATATATTTAGATGTAAGAGATTTAAAAGACTATATTTTTCTTTCCTCATCACAACTCTACAACTTTAAATAGAAATGGTAAACTGCGTTTGAAAACTAGCAGGGACTATATTTTTGGCGGAATGGTGGCATATGAAAATATCTTCTTTTCTGCCTCTCAAAATTGTTATGTATGTAGAACATTGAATTTAGTTATAATTTTTACGCAATCAAAGACTAGCCGAAATTTTCAAATGTAAGTTAAATTGATAACAAGGGACTAAAGTTTCAAAATATATCAAATAAACCAGATTTTTCACACATATTAGAGCTATGTTGGCTTTTAAATGCTTCAAATCTAAGTACAGATTTGAGCCAAAAATCCGTAAAAAGTGTTATTTCTCTCTTAGTAAACGATCAAAACTTTTAGTTTTTGTATCATTTTGTACCTTTATGTGAAAACATTACTATATGTGAAAATTAGAAAAAGTTAAATATAGGAAGCATAGAAAAATAACCAATAAATTCTAAAAATTTAAGAAAAGTAAAGAAAATTCGGATTAGCAAATATCCATTTTATTTAAATTATCCATGTCAATTTGGTAATATCATCTTAGAGTCCCTATATGGTAGTATCTTTTTATGCACAAAAAAAAAACATTCAATCTTTTGAATTACAAGTTGGGATTGCATGATTTGAAACAGAAATTTTTTATTCTTAATGTCCAGGAAAAAATGTAATGACCTTGACCTGACCTTGCCTCTAATATTAAACGGTCAAACTTAATCTCACTGATACCATCACTTAGTGATATTGTCCTCTTGATTCTTTGAAAATTTCTTTAATTTTTAAATACAAGTAATGTGAGAAGAATCCTACTTTAAAAGACATCTCAGAGAAAACATCATCATGAGGTTAAGCCTGATTATACATATTTAATTGTCTTTTTCTTAATTGCACTGCAATATTCATTAGTGTTAAAGAACCAGATGTCATGTTAGTATCAAAATTTTCATATATATATTTGAAACAGCAAGATCATCAGCAGGGTCATCAACTTCGGGCATGTAATCAATTGACTGGTTCGCGGCGATTAATATTTGCGAGTTAAAGTAGGTCGCAAAAGTCGCGATTATTTTTTGCATGCGAATAAAAGTATTTTTGAAATAGGCTATAATAAGAACAGTGTTGAATCAACAACAAAAAATGTAAAAAATACAAATCTGTAAACAGGGCCTCCTCAAGTTCCAGTGGTGTATGGGTATCGATAAATCAAGGATTGTTTGACTTGATTTATATTGGAGATCAAGAAATACAAAATAAAAGAAAATCTAAAACTATTAACTGAATTTAACTGCGTAATTGAGAATGGTGAAAGATACGGAGATAATGAACAGTATTCAAGATCTAAAGTCCCCCCCCCCCCACACACAAAAAAAAACAAAATATAAGAGCAAACACGGACCTCCAAATCATCAGAGGTGGGAGCAAGTGCCATGGAGGTGTGAACATCTTCTGCCTTTCGGTCACACCCGCCGTGTGCTCCTTGTCATTAACGGGAAATAACGGAAAAATCCGTCGTCAATTTAGTCGTTCAGCATTTGACTCGGTGATAAATTGTATTTGCTGACAATGTCATTGTATCGACCATAGAACTTACGAAACGATGACTTTAAGCTACACTGCTGATATTCTTGTCTCATCAACTTGTTTGTCAATAATTTGACCCTTTTTAGAAAGTGTTCATACTTAGAGCATGCTCTTGCGTATCGAATCAGCTGAGAGATGTATGCAGGTGATGAAGATATGTTGCTGCATCAGTGAGGGAATTTGACGATTGAAAAGTTAAAGTCATCACGTTTTTCACAGAGCTTGGTTGTTAGATAACCATTAACGTCTTTTTCAAGTGAAATATCCAAATATGAAACAGATGTGCCAGACTTGGTGGTATCTTTTATCTCAGACTCGCCGGGATATATCGTATTGACATAAGAATGGAAACTACCATCATTTATTGACAATAAGTCATCAATATATCTAAATGTCGAGTTGAAGGACACGGCAAGTGTTTTTTTCTTTTCACGTTTACGATTTTGGAGAAATTCTGATTCATGTGAATACAAAAGTAGGTCTGTTAATTAAGGGGCGCAATTGGTACCCATGGGAATTCTAAAAAAACACATAGATATTGTCAATCAGAAACTCAAACATCTTTTTGATGTCAACTTCAGAGTACTTGTGTGTACAATAAGAATCATGCAAATGACCAATGAAAAGGTAAGTGAATTAACGAGTTCCATTTTTTTAAAAAGCAGTTTTCAATGATATCAAAATATCTGGACTTTAAATTATTGACTGGTTGTGAATAAAGTTGAAAAGTCGTAAGTTTTTAAGCTATTGATTTTGGTAAAATCCTTTGCTTTCAAATTGTTCAAAAGTTCCTTGGAATTTTTAAGTATCCACATCTGATTTACACCACTTCTTAAATATATTGTTGCACAGTACTAGTGAAGTTTCTCTTTCACTAGTGTTAATATCTTGGTGAGGAGTAAAGAAAGATGCGTGGTTGAACATTTACTCGAACCCGCTTCCTATCTTTGTTTGTAAGGATTTTTATGAAGTTTTGGATTTCAATAGATATATGGTAATTCAAATTCATTTTGGTTCTTCGGGATATTAAAATATTCAAAACTGACAGGCTATTTATAACAACTTATACTATATATGTTTTGATTGATAATTGGTAATTCAATTTATTTGAGAATTACCAAAATTGGTCTTAAAGTGGACAGGTGGTATATGCTATTTCCTTGTGTTTGTAATCATCCCAACAATAGAAAACTATGCCTTCTTCAAAGAATTAGTTTTTTATATAAATAAATGCGCATTCATGTATGTGTGGTATTGAAAAATCGGAACAAGGAATATGCAGATTGAAACAAACATAACATTGAAGGCTTAAAATAATTATTATGCGATAATTTTGCAAGTACTATACGCGATGAGGAGACAGGGAAAGTTTTTGAAACTATCGAATCGCGGAAGCATGGACCTAAGTATAATCTATTAAAACTCACTATCTTGAAAAAGCATTTGACCTTATGCAATGGTCATATTCCCAGCCTCACTATGAGGGTCGGCTTTGTGGTATTAGTTCTGGACAGCTTTCTTTCTATATCTTGCACAGATCTCGAAGACTGCAAAAATAAGTATATATCTCAAGTATTTCTCGTTTGATAACTCTAACTTAATGAAAGTCGAGATTACAGCAATATTTATTTATATTTTATTGGCAGATTATCGTCTGAGTGTTGTGAAGATTACTATCCAGAAAATACCCGATGCGAACGTAAATAATTAACGATTGATGTAGAATTTGTTTTGATTATTTGTCTAATTTTCATGAATCGTCTAATTTGAGGATCATTTTATTTATTTATTTTGGACAGCGTGTATAGGTTCATTTGGAAGAAATTGTTCGGGCGGGCCTTGTACACCGGGGTATTACGGTCATGGATGCAAAAAGCGGTGTGATTGTGGAACCATTGTCTGTGACAGAACAAGTGGATGTCCTCAGGGTAAGGGATTACTTAACTTTAACTAAATATGTAGCTTTCTTTAAAAGGCATTGAAGTTTTATACGTAGAAAAAGTAAACAACACGTGTTTTAAGCTTTTCTTGTTGAATATGTGCCTCAAAGGAATTTAACTAATTTATTAATAGAGAAAAAAAATCAATCTTTTATGGACAGAGCTTCTGATGAGTCTGACACATCTTTTTCAGATTTGGATATTTTCTAGCAAAGTTATTTAACAACAAATAATTATGATAAACGTGATGACCTTAATTATTCAATCTTCAGCTTAAGGTCCCTTACTTATGTAGCAATATACTTTTGTCACATGGATATGAGGTTTATATCTCTCATTTGATTTGATACCCAACAGCATTCTCAACGTATGAACAATTTCTAAAACGAAGTAAATTATTGTCAAACAAGTTGATGAAACAAGAGTAAAAGAAGTCTCGTTTAATGTCATCATTTTGTAATTTCTAAGATTGATGCAATGACCTTGTCAGCGTATACAATTTATCATTAAGTCAAATGCTGACTGACGTTTTCATACTATTAATTGTTTGGCCATTATATACACACTGAATTGTAGACGGATTTTCCAATTATTTCCCAATCATGACAAGGAGCAAGCGGTGGGTGTGACCGGTCGGCAGGAGATGCTCACTGCTCCATGCCACCTGATCCCACCTTTTATTTTTGGATGTCCGTGTTTGCTCTGTTCCAATTTGTATTTTCAATGGGCCTTTGAGCTTGAATACTCTTTGTTATCTCCAAATATTTAATCTCAAACAATTTAACGTGTATAAAAAGCAAGAGCCACTTTGGACCTTATTTGGCCCTGAAAATTTCTGAAAAACAAAAACCGCTCAGTTTAGGTTGCAAATGCAGTATTTATCACTTGGAGTGTTGGTAACCACGTGTCTATTAACCATGACGTAATTTTCCCTCTAGTCATAAAATGCGTAATTTTTCTCATATCCTGTAAATTCCTTTGAAAATGGCCTAAAGTTGAAGCATTTTTTCAATATTTCATATAGAGCACAACTCTGAACCAAAATATGCAAATACATAACAAAAGATCTGTTTCTGGAAATCAAAAACATGTCTTATTTTTGGGATCGTGGGCTGTGCTCTTGTTTTAATTCTTTGCTGAAGGTAGTCAAATACGCATGTTTTCTGCAATTTTCAAGAACATTGCAATGTCTCAAAGACTGTTTTCCAATATCTGGATTCTCAAAAATAAATTTTATTACAGAAAATGAAAGCACCAAGTGTCTACTTTATTTTGATATATGAAGTGGGAAAGAGGGTGATAGTTAATTAATTGATATAAGTACAGGGCCATTTTACGCATTAAGTAAACCTAGCTCTTTTATATTGCAGATTTGAAGACCGGAGCATATCACTACTGGATCTTCATTATTCTAGGCACGCTAATCATTAACAGTATACCAATAACGATTGCAATTAATGCTTTCATATCAACTAGAAAAAGGTTTGAAGATTTTCTTTCAGTTTTCTCGAACCAAAGTAAACCAAATTTTCAAGTTAAAACCCTGTTTGCTATAAATGCATAAGGTACAATTAACAGTCAGTCGTATACGCATCGTGTTTGCTTAAACGTCATATGAAAAATAAATATATTCTTTTAGACAATAGATTCTTATATTCTTTCAATCCCATAGGAACACCAGAGGCAAACAGGACAGCAATCAAGAAACAGCTAGAAGAAAAGGAAAATTAAATTTATTCTCAGGTGCTTTGCTAAAACGTTTTCGAAGAGCAGCGTCTTCTGATGACGATGGCGAAGAAGCTGGGGATCCGAACGAAAGCATTCTGGAGTCACCTAAAAGACGAGGAAAGTTAAATGTTTATGTTGACGCATTACTAAAACGTGTGCGGAGAGCTCCTCCTCACAATGACGAAGATCCTAATAAACCTACAGAGGATTATTTTACTATGAGGATGTCCATGGCTCCACCAAAAGATAACGTTCATCACTTTACAGGTTGCGACGAAGAAGATGGGGATGACATTGAAGAGGTGGAGTACGTGGAAATGAATGTACAATCTGATGAATAATTAAACGTAAAATTTAATGTGCAATCTAATGAATAATGACATACAAAATTTAATGTGAAATCTATTGAAAAATTACATGTAAAATTTAATGTGAAATCTTATGAATAATGATATGTAAAATTGAATGTGCTACCTAATGAACTATTATATGTCAAAGTGAATGTACAATCTAGTAAATACTCGTAATTATTTGTAAAAATGAATGTGCAATCTAGTAAATACCAGTAATTATATGTAAAAATGAATGTGCAATCTAGTAAATACTTATTCTAGTAATTATATGTAAAAATGAATGTGCAATCTAGTGAATAATTATATGCAGAAATGAATGACAATTTATCGAATAATTATATATGGAAATGAATGTGCAACCTAATTAATGATACTATGTAGAAATGAATGTGCATTTTAGTTTAAAATGGCTCTTTGACATTCATAGACACCGATTTACACGTCTTTTTAATTTGCAATATTATATTAAAATATATGCCCTTTTTATCTTTGCATGGCAATTAATCAATAAGTAGATGTCAATGATTTAAGTTTCTAATTATTTAATATTACTTGACATAAGGGGATATTATCATTTAACTAGTTTGCTCAAATGCCACGGAAACCTGTATCTGTAATTGGTAAACATTTATGGATTTCTTAAGTATTTCCTTGCAACACCATTCCATTTAAATATAAAAAGAGGAACTCATTGAGAGCAATTGATCGCTAAAGCAAAAGTCTTCTAATTTTCATGTAGAAGAAATGTATCCTCATACCAAAAACAACATCTCTGCTAAAAGTGTGGCGCAATTAGAACACATAATTTTCAACAGATTGTTTAAAAACTCCGTTTCCAAAAACTACTCAGATTTTGTCAGAGAGAAACTCGTACAACTTCTTGAACATTCACATGGGGGTACTTTTGTATAGCTTTAGAATTTTTTTAAAATGCTAATTTGGCAGATGACCAGTGGTAAGAAATGCAAGCTTTCGAGTCACAGTTTTATTGAACTAGTAATTGTTTATGATGCCAAAAAGTTTTTCTTTATTTTATCTCTGCAAAATTTTGGGATATGAATAAATGAATATTCCACCTTGTACTTGAAAGCATGAAGGTATTTTCACATAAATAGTTAATAGCAAAATGAAAACTCGATTGAATTTGTATTTGTTTGAAAATTAAGAAGACAGTTTTAAAAGGTAAATTAAGCTGTTGATGTTCAGAAAAAATGTCTTACAATTTCCTACAAGAAGAGGACAGACACCAGGAAAAAACAGGCTGTTTTAAGATGCTGATTCTTGTTGGTTGCTCATCTAAATTGCTGAGTTTAGTTAGGTCATTTTGCGACTGTATATAGAAGGTCGTTCAGTTTGACTTCGACATTTTAGACGAGTTTGGATACAAGTGGAGGTAATCAAAGCTGTGTACTAGCGCTTACGCTTTCCAGCAACTGATTTTCATGCTCAGGTGGAATTGCAGAGATGAAAAGATAAATTCCCTAAGTTACCTTACGTGGGCCAGGGAGCTCCATGCTACCCACTATCAACGAGGAAAATTTGGAAGTCGACACACAAATCCAACACAAAGGTTCTACACTACTGACAACCTCTCAAGAGAAATAAAGATCAACAAATTCATCGAATTAAGACATATTTACATTTGCCAATGTCTTTCCTTTTATGATAATGCTAAAAAAAAATGAAATTCAATTTTTAATGACATGTAGTTGGTCACATGATCAAACTTTCTTGCGTATGGAAAGCAAACTACTCGAGACATTTGGAAAGTCTTGACTCTGACGTCATATTACGTCGTATTTATACGTTATGTTGCATTCAATAAATAAGTCTAAATAGAGCATTTTGTCTTTGTAATGTGAATAGAAATAAAAATATAAATATAAGAAATAAGATATCATTTTTAAGAGTTTCACTGGGGTGTGTTATGAAGTCGGTACGTGATTAAATCTACTATAACGCCCTTCGGGCGTTATAGAATTTGATCACGTGACCGACTTCATGTCACATCCCCCAAAAAATCTCTAAAAATGATATCTTATTTCTTAAATAATTATCCAATCCTTTCTGGGGGGAAACGCAAGGGCATATACGATTTAACTATCCGATGATGTCCCTTCTTTTTCAGAGATATATCTTCGATGGATAGGCCACCAGAACAGAATGGGTGTATCCCCAAGGATCTTCTTTATAGGAACTTGCAGCAGACACTTCTACTTCTAGGTTGTTACCAAAGTGATATGAATGCTTGCGGCATAGAAACAAATAGTTTAGAGGTATTTGCATGCAGAAAGAACATTTTGGAATTTCGTTTAAAACGAATTACTGATAATGAATAAGTTGATAAAGATCAGATCACAGAAAAAGACTTAAAAAGATATGCAGGATAATAACTTCAAGAGAACAAAAATATGTCACACGCTTATTTGTGTCAACTGTTTCTGACAGTGCAGAACTAGGACCAACCATTACAATCAGAAAATTGATTGATTGTATGAATTTTTACATCCCGTTCGAGACCTTTTCACTCATATAGCGTTAAATGGTTTGAAATTAAAACCTTTACTTGGCATTCAAGCTCATTGAGAAGTGAAGGATCTTTAGCGTGGAAACGCCTGTATTGACACGGGGGTTTGAAAGCTCGTTATCACTGAACCAGGTGAAATGTCAATGTTTTCTCTACATCTTTGTTTATTCTTGAGCATCGTTGGAATTTCTTTTGTTTTTATTCAATTGCCAGTCAGAAATCTTTGTATATCACCATCCTTTGTATATCATCCTGATCCACATAGGGCTCTTAGGGATGCTTACTCCTCCTATCTTCCTAAGCACCTGATCCCACCTTTGACATCTCCAGGGTTCCGTCTTTTATGCCCTCTTCTCATATTTGTACTGTTCAAGGATTTTTTGACACCGATCACTGTTCATCATCGTTATTTTTTACATTGTAAAAGAAAAAAAAACCATATAGCTGTTTATCTGTAAGTGGTAAAGGATGGTTCACGCTTTCACGATCAAGGAATTCGCTCATCACATTGATGAAGAGGAAAAGCAGTGACAATGTCGACATGAAGGAAATGGTTAAAGTCTACTTTAAAATATATCAATCACTGGTTACACTCACATGTTCTAATATACATCTAAACTTAAATTATTAAAAAAAAATCTGACAAATGCAAAAACTATTTGACGAGTTAGCAGTGAGACCAATATGAATATGAATGACACAGGGCTCTGTATTACCAAGTAAGTTATCAACAAACACTTCTTATATCACTAGTTATGTTATAGTATGCATTAGTTATCTTATGCATTTAAGAATATTGATATTGAATTGTATCAGTCTGGATTTATGAATAAAAAGAAAACAAATTTGTCGTAAAGATATATCTATTTGTTAAGTAGAATAACAGAATTATTGTAAAATATATTTAAAAGCTACATAACACTCATATCCATTGTTTAGAAGGAAAGCAGAATGCTGTACAAATTACAAATTAATCAGCGGCAAGTGTATACGTGAGTAGATATGAAACATTTTGATTTAAGCTGAGATAAAGGTAATTTTTATTTTGCATACAATAACAGGCAATTACGGGAAAAAAACCACAAAATTATATCTATGATAGAACAGAAAAGTTTAGAACAAAAAGATGTCGTTATATTTGTGATTTAAATTGCTAAAAAGAAGTGAAGATGTAATTACTCTGTTTGATTTACATGTAACACATTATACGGGAAAATATTTTTATATACATGCATTTACTGATCTCATTCAACAAACATTATTATTAGAGAATGTTAATTTTGTTTAAATTGCCTCCAGATTGCCTTGGATCCTTTGGAAAAAACTGCACACAGCCGTGTCCATATGAATATTATGGTTATGGATGTTCGAAGAAATGCAAATGTACATGGAACGAGTTCTGTGATCCAAAACAAGGATGTCAAACTGTAAATAATACACTGAGTGAGTGGTTCCTGAGATATTCTTAATTTTACAATTTAACTTTTTTTTTACTTTCTTCGTCCTTCAGTTTTTTTTCTCTTTTTTTCATTTTTCTTTAATCAAATGATCCATGTCCATCAAACTTGCAACAGGTCATCCTTTGGCAAAATCAAATCTAAATTCAACAATTATGCATCATTCAAAGGGTATCAATTTATAAAAGACAAGAATTGAGATTGCTTGCTAAAAAATCTTCTTTAAAACCACCTGGTCAAAAACTGTTAGTAAATTATTGTCGATAGAGCAGGTAGGCACAGCTAGAATAGGGGATCGATCCTTTTCATGAAAGGGTTATGATAAGTTAAAAAAAAAAAAAAAGGAAGTGGACCATAAACAGGAAAGGTAAGACTAGAATGGGGATTGAACTTTAGAATCTGCTTTGCAATAACATTAAAAAATGTTTAGTTACATATGTGTAAGAGGTATCGGTGGTGACATTTCTTAGATGGGAAGACTGAAACAAAGATCTAGTAAAATCTCCTCAAAAACAGCAAGTCCATGATATTTTGATATTTTACCAGCATCTTTAGCTACTGCTGTTTAAGCTTTGTGAGATTTATTGATCCGAGATCGACTGAGACCCCTTTAACAATAAATTATAATTGAATTAACAAAGTATTTAAAGAAAATTGTACCTTTTGGCAATGAAAATAAATGAATTATTATCTTTTTTATTCTCACTAGTTTCTTTTCTTTCTATTTTATAAATGTTTAGTTCCAGCTGTAACCGGGGGTGTTGTTTTGACAGTTGTGCTGCTAATTATACTTTACAGGTAAGTTTGAATGCGCTATGAATCATGTATTTTTTCCTTTAAGTATCGCATTAAATGGATGTTGAATTAAAATGTTCTTGATTGATTTAGATGCTATACAAAGCGATGCCACATAACAAGACAGAAGAAAGGTAAACACTTCTGAAATTGCTAGTATCTCTCTATGCTGGATATACTCCTAGATCTTTAAAACGTTTTAAATATATTTTGTTGTTACTATTACGTGTTTTACATGAGAAACAGAGTCAAATACGAGGAGAACATCGTCAGATATTGTAACTAACTGCTTTTTGTGTTTCTTTTGGTTACCTGATAGTTTAGCCTTTACAGAATTCTTGATCGCGTTTTCTTGAGCTTGTCTCTCGTGTTATACTCCAAATCCAAAGCATACACATTTACAACTTTGATTTATGGTAACTTTTGTTAGCATACTCACATATAACTAAGCTTCATTGATAACTTTTGTCACAAGACTTTAAAATACCTAAAACATGGTAGTCTTCATTTTACAGACAACATCACACAACTTAAGAACCTTGACCATTCTTCAAAGACCTATAAGAGAAGATATGAGGAACCAGACAACAACATGAATGAGTACTCCCAAGCCAATATTTCACAATCTGGAGAGACATATGATAGGACTCATTGCTTTAAAGATGGAGGGATACTAGGTGGCGATGTGTATTCTGTGTCAAACACTCACTTAGGCATATCTGAAAATCTTTATGATTGCACATCTAAATAATTAAAGTAATTAAAAACGCCATCATAAAGGTTTAAAGTAGAATTATTCCTGACACGTGTAGGATATATTTTCTGATCCATATTTCATGAGTTGAATCAATTCAACAGCATTATAATCAATTGATGTATTGAGGAAGTTATATAGTTTTATTTATCTTCAATGAGTGCCATCCGGAAACACTGTCTGAAAATTATTCTCATTTTTTAAAAAGGTTCACAGAAACACTTTAAAGACTTTTTAAAAAAAAAAATATTATTATGATAATTGTAAATTATAAGGATCTTGACTGCCATTGACTTGTATATGGTAATGATAAATTCTTTTAAAATTATTGTGATATTTATGTGCATTACTTTCCTTAGGTACTGAATGTTGTTTTCGGCTTTTGAATTCAGGGGAATAGACATAATATTGTTTTATTATTTTTTGTATCATGAATTGCAATAAGAACTCTAGAAAAAACGAAATTGAAATCTACAGTGAATTAATACTACAATATGACATTGGGCACAATACATGTACGTGAAATTTTTAAAAACTCTAACTTTAATACCTCTTTGTTTGAATTCCAGATCTTGTAATTGTACCCATCCCACCCGTCTGTATTTCTTGCCATATTTTTTTAAAAAAATCATTCACGTGTACTTTTTCATTTTAAGAATATTATTTATTGCTGTGCAGACTTCATCTATTTATGGGATGAAAAGAGGTGACATGGGGGAAAATTAAAACACACAAACACCAATAAAAAATGCTGAATTAGCAAATTTCATCAATTGCATAAACAAAAAATAAAAAAGCATACACGTTGTATCATTCTTTCTTAAAAAGGTTTTGATAAAATTAATTCACACTTTAATACATGACAACAAACAAAATGGGACTTCAGCAATGTTCAGATATATACGTTATATGTGACTGGTGCATGCAACCAACTAGGGAACGTATTAGGTCTTTTAAACAAAATAACATATGTAAATATATTGTTTCTTCGAACTCTAAGCAAAAAATAAATAGTTCGATGACTTTAGACATGCTTTTATTCGATAAATATCCTGCATTTCGCAATTTTCGTTATCGCTGCGAATCATTTATTTTGCTGTGAATTTGTAGAGAGAGTTTCTCTAGGGCGGGAAATTCATCATCGCGAATAAAAAATGACGCAAATAATAGTGGTTAGCAGTACCTTAAGGATTTCATTTTTAAAAATTCGATTACTTTTGACGACAAATACTTCAAAAATCATATTCAAGGGGCCTGAGTCAGCGCCAAAAAATCAAATATATAAACAATACACGACAAGGACATTGCATGTGCAGCGCTAATACATACACCAACAACTTCAAACAAGTAATTGTGCAAAATTTTGAAACCAATGCGTCTATTAATGTACACATACAGTAACTGGAGACCTCAACTCCTCAAACGGGTGTTAAGAACAAGATGTGAACTATGAAACTGTTTTCATCTTCTCATCCTCAGGTATTCCCTGAAAAACAAAATATGGAAATTTCGAAGACAATCAAACTCAGAAATCAATTTATATTTACAAATCGAGAGAAATGCTAACAGCAACCTCTAAAAACACACGCAGCAAAAGAGGGAACATGTGCAATGGAGAAATAGCATGCCCTGTCAGCTGGTTACACTCGCCATGTACTCTTCCCGTAGACAATTCATAGAGTAAATAATCAGTATGAATACTAGTAATTAGTATGAAAAACATAGCTTTTCGACAAAATTATTTCTTGCATTTTCTGACAAGGTCATTGTATCGGCAATAAAACTTACTTTAACAGTTCACTTAAAATGAGGCTGATAAACATTTGGTATTTAAGGCAGATCAATGTATGCACAACAGTAGAAGGTAAATATCACAAAGTCATCAATCTCCAAAAAAAAATCTTTAAACAAATCAAATACGCAAAGAGGACTTAAAATAACTGCCATTTGAAACCTTTTAACATTGAAATTCAAAAAGATGGGTTCATGTGCCTAGGAGGAGTAAGCATCCCCTGTTGACTGGTCACACCCGCCGTGAACACTTTAATTTGATACATTGCGTATCAAGTATACATTATGTGGTCAGGTCTAATATAAAAAGGCCTAACATTCAATACTAAAAAGTCAGCCAAATTAATTATTATTATTGCCAAACGGTCATTATAACAACCATAAAGATTATGACTTTAAACAAGGTTGATGAAATTCCTGGAACATCAACTTATTGGCGAGTAGCATGCTTTGCTAAAAATAATCGGCCTCAGGACAAGCTCTTGTGTAGCGAATAAGTTTGGAGACCCAAGCAACATAAGCAGGTGATTGTGGAATATTACTTCATCATAAAAAAGGTTAGACAATGTAAAAGCTGAAGTTATCACGTTTTTCATTCCATTTAGTTGATTGGTAGCCTTATCATCTATAGTCAGTAAAACATTCAAATATAAAATAGACCAGGCAGACTCTGAAATGTCTTTATTTCAAGTTCACTAGGATATATCAAGTCGACGTATGAATGAAAATATAGATAATTAATAGATTAGATATATCTGAATGTCTAATTGAAAGCTACAGCAAGTGCTTTTCTCTTCTCATGTAGACATTGTTTGTTTAAGTTTTTCTTCATAAAAAACAGGTCAGCTAATAAAGGAGCACAGTAAGTGATTATTGGTATTTCAACAGTTGGTAAGAAAAGCTTGGTCTCTAAAGACTACATAAATCTTGTCAATGAGGATTACTAGCATCTCTTTAATATTTGTGCTGTTATGTTCAATGAAATCGATTTTTAACGTAGTATTTTTATTTGCTGAGAACTAGTCATAAGATCTGATTATTTCCGAGTTCTGCTTTTATTGAAGAAACGGTTGTCTATGATATCAAAAAGTCTAGAATTTTAAAAATTAATAGTGTATAACTTTTGAACGAAGATAAAATGAGACTTAACTTTTTGATATTATAGACGTTCGAAACTATGATGTGATAGTTAATTATGAAAAAAGACTATGATGGAAATTAATTCAAGCGAACGTAGAAAAAATCTAGTTAGAACATACCAATGATTCATGAATCAATAAAGTGAAAGTCATATTTATTCATATGGCAGGAGTAATACATCCTTGGCTGTGATTTAACTCCTTTAATACATGTAACTATTTTTCTTTAGATTCAATAAACTTAAAATAAATCAATCTAAATCACATACAATTATAATATCAAAAATAAATAGGTATGACACATTGTGAACTTGTAGTCAACTTATTATAAATGTAAAATTTACAATCTACAATCTAACAGAAAGCATGAACGTAAGCTATACATCCTTTGATATCAATTCATGTTTACGCTGTCGTGATATCTATCATAAAATATTATTGAGTGGTTTGAACATTAATCTTTAATGAAGGAAGATTACTTAAAATAAAGTTCACAGAGCAATAGAGTTTATAATTTAAGTGTTTGATCAAACGTAATACACGAAGACTTCAGCACAAACATATGCATATAAAATGATTGGAAAAATTGTGCACGAAAAAAGTATACTACTCTCCCTAATAAAAATTGTTGAATTATATGCTGCCATGAACGGAAATGCGATTTGTTTGGATGATAAGTATGTGCTTTTTATAACCATGTTACCTTTACTTGCACATTTTCATGACTGAATGAAGTTTACTTCGCTATTTCAGGAATTATACGAAGTGTTGCACAAACTACATTTATAATGCTAAGGTGGACCGATGTGTAGTTAAGTAAATTTAATTTTACCGACTAAATTTCAAGGATGAACAATAAAATGCTGAATTCTGCCATTTCATAAACACCCTGCATTTATTTTACAGCAATGGTTCTTATTGCTGTACAAACTACATGTATTTACAGGCCAAGCATAGATGCAAGAGTAATTACACAGTTGATAGTTTTCTTCAAACGAAAAACTGATCTTGGTAGACTTTTAAGACAAAATTAACCATCCGTTTTTCTTTGTTTTTCTGTAACAAGTATATTAAACATATGGTTTTCATTATTATAATTAATATCATCTTATCAAATATCATCAATGTTTATATCAAAACTTTATGACTGTATAATTCTTGTGAACATTAGATATTTCATTTCTTTTGGGGAAATGCTTGACTTTGAATTTAAGCAAGTAGTTCCTTTTTAAATGTGGTATAACATTTACATATAACATTTTAAAGAGTGTGTAGGACGGTACGGTGTGAACTGCAGTAGGGAATGTCCACGTGGATATTACGGAAAACAGTGTAACGAGAAGTGCACCTGTGATGCTAGACATTGTGATAAAGTTTGGGGTTGTCTATCACCTACACCGGGTATAGTAAAGTCTCATTATATGTAAATGCTCAGAGCAGGTGTGAATGAATTTGAATATATGTATCTTACTGCTCATACTATTTTTTTTTTTGTATCGACTACCAAAAATTTCAGTGGTACAGCCAAACGAAAAACGCGGACCAGAGAGGGCTTTTCCACACGTTTTATCCGCCTTGCTTTCTGTCATAGTTTTATTGGTTTTAATAGCTCTAGGAATCGCTTACAGGTTTGTTTTATATGTCAATGCTTTGTAAATTTTATGAAAATATATTAAAGTTTAAAAAGCTTTTATATTGACAAAACAAATATATTTTATTTATTTATAAAAATATCTTTTGTCTTAGGTTAAAAAGAAAACACATTGAAATTTCAAAAGCCAACAATTCTACACAAGGTATGTTTGTGAAAATGGTTTGCTTTTTTATTTTCAGTAAAAAGATTAAATGTAATAAAAACAAAATGAAGATGAAACTGTTTTTCCTTTTTTTTTTGGGAGATGACAATGGAGAGAGAGGTACAAGTACCTCAGATATATATGCCGCTGTGGTACGTCCAAACAGGAAACCTTTTAGGGGTATACAACAAAACGATATGACGTATGACAATACATTGATTCCCGAAACATCAAACCAAGAATACGGAAGATCGAATACTTTACAAAGTAGCAATTCCTACATTTATAAAGAAAAACAAACGCTTCGAGACCTTAATACCCCATACAGCATGTGTATAGGACTAGAAGACGCCTACGATAACACTCTTTGCATTCGTTCATCCTCAGACTCGCAAAGAGAAAAAAGCGTTGGCATCGAACACAGTTCAGTGGACAACTATGACGTCACAATGTATGATGACATAGACCACGAGGGAGACTCTTTTGATCAGAGAGAGACATGGAACTGAAAACCAGATACATTATAATATCAACGTGTTAATCGTATAAGTCGTTATAATTCTCCTGAATACAAAATAACATGTGAATACAGAAAAATTAAACTATAAGATTGCTTCACTTTAAAAATTGGTTAGAAAGGTATACTACCATTGATGAATTACTTATCCAGGGATTTTTTTATTTTCGTCCCTTTCGCCCTTACCTCGGTTGGGCGAATTAAAAACAGGGCGAATTCAAAGAATTCAGTATCATGTCTTAAACAAAAGTGTAACTGGGCGACTTTAAGATGGGGCAAAATTGTTTGCAAGATTGAAAGGGCGAAAATAAGCGGGGTGAAAATAACAATGTACATGTATACAGTATAATTAAAAATTTACAGCTGGCTAGGAAAGTGGAATGCCGGTTTTGAATTTGATGTTTTCATTCTTCTTTCAAATGCACTACTCAAAATTGATATGTACTTAACACAAACACTACTTATTAATAAAGCAATATACATTTCTTTGTTATTGTTGTTGTTGTTGTTGTTGTTGTTGTTGTTGTTATTGTGTTATATTTTAATGGGTTAATAATGCGCAATCTTTATGTCAGTTAAAGTATGTTTCAGTGGACCTGTAATAAGTGGAAAATTATTTACATGTATATTGTATTTTCACTTTGTTAAAACGTTTTTTTTGCAAACTTCGACAGAAATATTCATCAATGCGCGTACGTCAAACATGGAAAACATCCATATTATTGTCTCAAATATCTATAGATAAAAAAAATCTATTTATTGCCTGAATCAGTTTCATATAGTTTTGCGTTTATATTTTTTGGACTTCGATTTGGAAAATTTTAATATATGAATTAAATTAAAAGTTAAATGCCATCATTCTTTTTTAGATCCTTTGCCTTATGATTTATCACTTAGGCTAACCGGCTGTTTTAAATAAGAGGCTTTCCATCATCTTCTTTTTTTTCGAGAATGATAAAAATCCCTTGACTAAATCCCTTAAAACAAGTTATATAAATTGATTTGTGTTATGTATGCTATATTAAGCATTTTCACATTTTTATTTGAATGACTCAAAGCAGATGATGAATTAAAGTTAGGGCTTTTTGATATTATAGACAGCTGCTTTTCCAATAAACATGAAACTTTTAAGTTTACTTACTCTGCATTGGTCATTTGCCAAAATGATTTTGTCAAAACTATTCTGATTGTAAATAAAAGTAATCTGAAGTTGATAATAAAAAGATGCTGGAATTTCTTATCAATAATATATCTATGTAGTTTGTGGAGATCATGTCTTCCAAAAATCTGTTGGAATTCTCATGGATACCAACTGCTCCCCTTAGTAAACTTTTTTGTATTTGTATGAAGCAGAATTCACTCATAACCCTACCCCCCCCCCCCAAAAAAAAAAAAGAGAGAGAGAGAGAGAAAGAGAAAGCACTTGTTCTGACTTACTCGACATTTAAGGAAGTGTATTAGTGCCAAGTAATATTTTTCTTTAAGTTGGCAATTTCAGTTAAAAGTTTGCTTTTCCAACTTAAATCTTGGCTTTTCCAACATTCAATTTTGAAATTTTAACTTTTAAGTTGGCTTTTCGATTTTGTAATTTGTAATTCCAGATTCCAGCTTTAAAAAACTCAATTATTTTAAATTTAACTTTAGTTTTCCAACTTTAAAACTGGAAATTTGAACTTTTATCAGGGTTTTTTTCAACTTCAATGGTGGAATATCAAAGATTCTGTTTTTTTTCTTTTTTTTCTTTTTTTTTCTTTCTTTTCTTTCTTTTTTTTTTTTTTTTTTTTTTTTTTTTTTTTTTTTTTTTATACAAATTTCAGGGTGGCTATAACAATATTAAAGTTAAAAACTCCAATTTCAAAGTTTACTTTACTTAATCTAACCCTGCCTTTTCCCACTTTTTTGGACTCCATACGTTTTATTTGTTAACTTTTAATTGAATGGTTATCATGTTGCTGTTTATTACAATGGAAATAAACAAGTTTTAATATGTATTATTCTGATTTAAGGTAGGATTTTTCTCATATTTTTTTGTATCTAAAAATTAATGAAATGTACACAGAATCAAGAAGACAATATCACTATGTGATGGTATCATTGAAATTAAATTTGACCGTTTTATATTAGAGATTACGTCAGGTCAAGGTCATTACCGTTTTCCTGGACATTAAAAATAGAAAAAAATGCTGTGTCCAATTATACGATCCCTACTTGTATTTAAAAAGATTGAATGTTTTTCTTTTTGCATAAAAAGATACTACCATTAAGAATCTGTAAGATGATATTACCAAATTAACATAGATAATTTAACTAAAATGGATATTGGCCAATCCGAATTTTCTCTACTTTTCTTGAATTTTTAGGATATATTAGTTATTTTTATATGCTTCCTATATTTAAATTTTTCTCATTTTCACTATGGTAAAGTTGTCACATAAAGATACAAAATGATATAAAAACAAAAACTTTTGATCGTTTATCAAGAGAGAAAAAATACATTTTACGGATTTTTAGCTCAAATCTGTACTCGGATTGAAGGTTCTAAAAGCTAACATAGTTCTATTCTGTTTGAAAAATCATATTTATCGATATTTAAGGAACTTTAGTCCCTTATTATTAAATAAACTTACATTTAAAAAATTCTTCAAGTCTTTGATTGTGTAAAAACTATAATTTCATTCATTTTTCTATGATAATTTTGAGAGGCAGAAAAGCATATATTTTCATACGCCACAATTCCGCCAAAAATATAGTCCCTGTTAGTTTTCAAATGCGTTTTACTATTTTCTTTGAAAGTTGTACAGTTGTGCTGAGGAAAGAAAAATATGGTATTTTTAATCTCTTACACCTAAATATATAAGACATATAAGGAATTGTACTTTAAATATTTCATCTAGTCAGACACCAGAGAAGAATCCTACCTTAAAGAAATTATATTCAAGTATTTTTACTTACGAAGTTGTTTTTTAACACGATTGGTACTTTTTTAGTTCTTTGTAGCATAAAATACGGTGTTAATTAATTCCATAGATGAAACATCTAATATGGTCTTATTTGTTTACTCTCAAGAAATTCATATACAAGTATGTCTGATCATTTTAAAAAAAAATGTTCGAAGTTACTATATCATGAATGAAACCTATACAGATAACAAACAGTATTCGAGATCAAAAGTCTATAAAACAGTACAAAATAGGAGCACAGCAAACACGGACCTCCAAAACCTCAGAGGTGGGATCAGGTGCCAAGGAGGAATGGGCATCCCCCGCCGACCGGTCACACCCGCCGTGTGCTCATTGTCATGATCGGGAAATAACGGGAAAATGCGTCGTCAATTCAGTGTATAACTAATGGACTAATAACAATAAGTATGAACAAGAGGCCCACGGGCCTTATAGGTCACCTGAGCATTATGCAACAACTTTCCAGTGATTGAATTTGATTCATGTTTTAAACCAGATGCTATGCTATTCACAATTTTGAAAGAGGCACCATTGATCATCATAACAATACACTTAGCAGTTGCTTAGTTTGTTTACTTAATACCCATAGGCAGGGTAGGGGAACAAAAAATGCATTTCAAGTAATCAGTAATATTCAGCAATAATCAGTAATGCCCCTATCACACATCAACCCCTGACCCTTAAGCTTAGATACACACATTGCATAATTTTTGAAAAGGCACCCTTGCTTTTCAAAAATATTTGATTAATACCAAGAAGCAGATTTCAAACAATTCATCCAGTTTCAGTATATAAGTACAGTCCCCCCTATGGTACCCCTGACCCTGGGGCCTTGAAATTCACAATTCTGGAAGATTAGCAACCTTGCTCATCATAACTATATAGGTAGTTCATCTGCTTAATACCCAGGAGCAGAGAAGAATACTTTCAAAGATTTAATGTATTTTCACTATATAATCAATAGAGCCCCGCCCTATCACTAGAACCCCTGACCCTGGGCCATAAAATTCACAATTTTAGTAGAAGCACTCTTGCTCATCATAACTATGCACTTAGTTAGTTTATTTAATACCCAGGAGCAGAGAAGAAGATTTTCAAAGAATTCATGTATTTTCACTATATAATCAATAGAGCCCCGCCCTAACACCAGAACCCTTGACCCTGGGGCCATAAAATTCACAATTTTAGTAGAAGCACTCTTGCTCATCATAACTATGCACTTAGTTAGTTTATTTAATACCCAGGAGCAGAGAAGAAGATTTTCAAAGAATTCATGTATTTTCACTATATAATCTATAGAGCCCCGCCCTAACACCAGAACCCCTAACCCTGGGGCCATAAAATTCACAATTTTGGTAGAAGCACTCTTGCTCATCATAACTATGCACTTAGTTAGTTTATTTAATACCCAGGAGCAGAGAAGAAGATTTTCAAAGAATTCATGTATTTTCACTATATAATCTATAGAGCCCCGCCCTAACACCAGAACCCCTGACCCTGGGGCCATAAAATTCACAATTTTGGTAGAAGCACTCTTGCTCATCATAACTATGTACTTAGTTGGTTTATTTAATACCCAGTAGCAGAGAAGAAGATTTAAAAAGAAATAATGCATAATGCATTTTCACTATATACTTATTTAGCCCCGCCCTAGCACTAGAACTCCTGACCCTGGGGCCATGAATTTCACAATTTTGGTAGAGGACTCCATGCTGATTACAATCATGCAAACAATTTAACTGCTTGATGTCCAGGAGTAAAGAAGAAGATTTTTAAAGATTGCATTAATTTTAGTGGTTTTTGCCCCACCCCCCAGGCCCCAGGGGGGCAGGGACCATAAAATTCACAATTTTTGTTCCCCTTCACCCATAGATGCTTTTTGCCAAATTTGGTTGAAATTGGTTCAGTGGTTGCAGAGAAGAAGATGAAAATGTTCAAATGTTAACGCACGACACACAACACACAACACACAACACACGACGCACGACGACGGACGAAAACAGATAGCAATAGGTCACCTGAGTTTACTCAGGTGACCTAAAAACGTCAGTCAGCATTTGACACAATGATAAATGATATTTGCGTACAAGGTCATTGTATCGACCATAGAACTTGCGAAATGATGACTTTTAACGAGACTGCTGATATTCTTGTTTCATCAACTTGTTTGTCAATAATTTTACTATATAAAATTATATAAGATGGACAAATATATCAGGGCTTTAAGAATTATAAGTTAGTTGTAAGATGTTTGTCAAAAATAAATGACACAATTTAATTGTTCAAATATTTGTTTTTGTGTATTAGCATTCCATTAGTAAAGTTGATGATGATATTAACTAAAGGTTACAAACTAACAAAAAGAAAGAAAAGACTCAAACTAAAGTAGGGAAAGCCAAGATTAAAGTTGAAAAAGTCAACTTTAAAGTTGGAATTAAAGTTGAAATTACCAACTGAATTATCTACAGATTTTTTTTGTTTTCCCGATGATGACAAGGAACACACGGCAGGTCTGACCGGTGATTG